GTCGGCGAACGGCTCCGGTTTTCACTATTAGTGATGCCGTTCACCTCGCCGCAGATAGATTAATGCATACGAGCCTAGTCATAATATAGGTAAAATTTGGAGCCAAAATCGAAAGAAAACTGTCACCTGAAAATTGGGTTGTTAAAAAGAATCCGAAGCTTCAAACTGGTCATACATAAGATACATGGTCTATCCATAAACGCAATTGTGGATTTTTTTTCATGCATAGAAGTCGAAAAAAAAGGAAAGTCTAAAAATGGGCAAGCTCTCAGCTCCTCCCACGTAATTGTATCTGCAACCTTTAGTAAGTATAACCTTGCAATTTCACTTCTGTATGTACTCTGATAATCGAGAAATACCAAGTTTGACGCAAAAACCCGAAAAAGTTGTTAGGACTATTTCATTTTCGGACTATTTATTTCTCAACTTTGAGGAGCGGAAAAAATCCACCAAATAAAAATTTGGGTACTACTATGTGTCTACTGTATAATGACCAAGTTGGAGGTCCGTAAAAACTATCTCGAAGGAGATTCGATTTCTAGAGTAGTTGAAAAATTTTTGTTAGCTCCAAATTTTACCTGAATTACGACTTAAAATCTTTGGTGGTCTTGTAGAGCTTGTTTCGCTCTATCGAACAGTACGTCTGCTAGGAAAACAAAAACAGTTCGATTTGTTTAGAAATACAGTACTTTCGGGACAACCTAATATACAGGGTGTCCCAAAAAATGTGTCTACTGTTTGACTGTTAATAACGCTCTTCTTGAAGTCTTGTCTTTCAAGAAGCTCTAAATACCATTTTGTAGATGGCTTCAACTTAGATTTACAGTTATGGAGCGAATCACCGATCGTTTTCATTACTGTAAGATTACGGTAGGAACTTTCCGGCATATGACGTCACTGCGAAAAAGCTGCCTTTCCAAATACTTTCCAAGAAAAACTTGTGTTATAGGTTTTTCATAAACGCCGAGTTCTATACGCAACTTTGTCCAAGGTTGTGAAGCTTTCTATAGGCATAACCTCATTTTTAGCAGCATCAAAGAAGCGGCTGCTAATGCTTAGTTGGCGTAGATTTATGTATAAGGAAGCATCACAACGTGAAGCAAACTTCATATTTAGAATCAGCAACTATGATTAGACTAGTGAAAAGTTTTCAAGTCGTTTTTTAAGCTAGAATATGACCTTCCATGACTCAAAACCCTCTTTAAAGTTCTAACCCAATCTTACACTAATGAAAAGAGTTGGGTAATTCGCTCTATACTGTTCTAAGTTAAGCATAGGTGCGATAGGGGAAGCCGGCCTTTTCACATAAAGGGAATCTCGGTCGCTCCCATGATCAGAGATCAGAGAGCACGCGCGCGGGAGAGACGGAGACTACGTCGCGGGCGCGAGCGGCCTTAATTAGGTCGTAAGGCTCCGCCTTCCAGCCGCCAAGCCAGTTGAATCATAGGGTATATACCATTCGAAAGCTGAGGTCATGGCGAACCGAATAACACCGTCGAATTCTTTTCTACGTAATTTGCGCCGAGAGATATGAACAATTTTAAATGACCAATTATCAACTTATTTAGTGTGTTCAAGTCCTGCTCTTTTATCGTAGTCAAGATGAAGGCTACGAGAAAGTCGACGGTCCACTTTTATGATGAAGACTTGCTCTATACATATAATTAGCTGTGATAAGGTTTTCTTTTAGCAGAAATCTTCAAATACGTACATAATCTTATATATAAAGCTGAAAGTCTGTTTGTCTGTCTGTATGTCTGTCTGTATGTGTGTACGTATGTTCCGAATAGAAAATTCCTTTTCTGAACCGATCCGGACCAAACTTGGCATACATACACTTCGGGCCCCGGCGGGTGTCATAGGTTACTTTTCGTCATCGATCGATATCGATTTTATCGATTTTTTGCAAAATTTGAGCTACAGGGCTGGGAGTTGGCACAGGGGGGTAATCGAGCATGCTGATTACAAATATATTATTGACAGGGCCGGGCGGAGCCGGGTAAGTCATCTAGTTTTAAATAGAATGCGGCGCATCGGTACAGTGGGGGGAGGAAAAAATCGACGATCTATGTCGAATCCCCGCTTCCTAAGCATTCAAATGGTATAAATATAGATAGGGGCGAAAAACTTGGCAGTTTAAAAACGGGGTGGAGATACTTACCATTAGCTTGCTCCACATCGCTCCTTCAATGTATTGGCTTTCGTGAGTCATCAGAGCAAGGATTTTTCGAAGCCAGGAAGCGAAAAACACCAACAAATTTTATGCCATTCGAAAGCTGAGATTATGGAAAATCGACGTAGATCGCCGACTTTTTTCTAACTCTTAGCTGTAAGATATGAGGGATTTAGCTGACCGATACATCTAATGATTCGCTCAGGTTGACAAACGCATTTAACCTCTTTCATTCTATTAGATTCTTTATCTCACTAGCGTAATCATTAACTAAATATCGTCCCTTCCACAGTTGCTGCCAATCCTCAGGCGTCGCGGACGTCACACGTGTGGCTAATACGTTGGCGTTGGGTGTATATATGTCGAAAGGCGCGCGTTCCCTCAGCCTTCATTGCCAGACTGGGTCAGTTCTCTGCAAAAGCAAGGTTTCCAGATGGCGAGATTTTTGTCAGTACATCAGAAAGTATAAAGAAGGATAACCAGTTGAAATCCGATATATTATTGAAATAAATTTGAACTTATTTCTTGCTTCTCCCAGTTAGTAAAAACCGACCAATGCGCGCCTTACGACCGTCTCCCGGCAACGTTGGCAGTAACATGTCGGTAACATGCAACAACATGTTGGCTAATAGCCAAAGTTTTCCGCCAACATGCTGTTGCATGTCGCAAACATGTTGTGCCGACGTTGCAACATGTTAGCCATACGTGGCAGGTCTGAGACGCAGGCCAAGGATAGCAGCAACTATGGAAGGGAAGATACTACATTAGTCACTGCGTATCAACTGAACTGTTTTTTCAATTTTTAACAAGACTTTTATGGTTTTTATCAGCATCGACACTTGTACATAGACTTATAGTCCCCTCCACAGTTCGTGCTACCCTTGTGGCGTCGCGGACGTGCCACGGGTGACTAACACATTGGCAACGTTGGCAGCAACACGTTGGCAACATGCCCCAACATGTTGACAGAACATTTTGGCCACGCCAACATGTTGCTGCATGTTGCCAACGTGTTGCTGCACGTTGCCAACGTGTTGCTGCATGTTGCCAACGTGTTGCTGCCAACGTTGCCAATGTGTCACACGTGGGGGGAACGGTCAGGAGTCACGGTCGGCGCGAATTTTTCGCGAAGCAGTGCCGCAAGCGATGTCAGCAAAACAGAAGCCAGCACTCCTGGCGCAGTCTTACTTATGACACGAGCCATGTATCTGCCCCCACCCCCCACCACCTTAGACTGGCGCCGTGCCACTTTAGCACTGGGCGGTTTTGTGGGTACAAAATTTAGACGCGACGTTCGCGGCGAAGCGGCGCGGCGCGCGGCGTGACTCCTGACATGGAGCCACACGTGGCACGTCTGCGACACCACAAGGGTAGCACGATCTGTGGAGGGGACGATACATTGGTTGGTTTTTCTTGCCTCGCTTAAGAGCAAAGGTGTCCACCTATCTGTCCACCTATCTCTGAATACCGCCCTAGGTGTCCTACAGACATTCCCCGGTCAATCTCGAATGTCCTGCGAGAGACACCTTCAAGGCAGTATCAGGCAGAATCGACTATTATTTCTTTGCCTTATCCAGGCCTTTTCCATGGCGCTGATTCCAGATATGGCACTCAAAATGTGCTGTTCTAAAAAATCCCCATTCTTGGGACAATTTTGTGAGAAGCTTGGACGAGTGCTCCTAATGCTACCCCTGTCGAAAGCAGCATTAACAGGTAGACAACACGTGTTCCATTGTGTTTACTATGTGAAAACATACCAGGCTGAGAAGAGTTCGTTCAAGGGAGGGCCATGCGACGGAATGGACGTGGTCTTCGAGGCTCAGCGTTTTCTGCTCCCACCTTCTTTTGCAGAGGGTGTTTGAATGTCGGATTTGCGCATTCTAGATCGAGGCCCTAGTACTCGAATATAACAGCATCCGAAAATGTCCAAATCTGCCCGGAAGCTGCCTTTGAAGGCAGCGTCCGGGCAAGTCTGAACCTATGGGGATTTTACGTGGAATGTACTTTTGGGGTCCTGACTAAGCCACTGCCCAACCGGCACTTAGGTAGTGCCCTAACGGCTGAGATATTCCCCTCGAAACTGGACCCCGCCGCCGTGTTTCGCATGGATTCATGGCGCAAAGCGTGGATCCTGGCGCGAAACTGCCATGAATCCCATGCGAATACGTTCGCGGGGGCCACTCTCGAGGGGAATATCTCAGCCATTAGAGCACTACATTGAGCTGCCGCTTGGGCAGTGCCTTAGTAAGGGTCCCAAAAGTACTTTTCGCGTAAAAGCCTCATAGGTCCAAATCTGCTCGGAAGCTGCCTTTGATGCGAGTTGGAACATGCATACGAGGTTGTCAACGTGTTAAGATGTTGCCGTCATACGAGTCATTTCTCCCTTTCTGCGAATTTTCCATGTTACTTTGCTGTTTCTTCAGTCTGCTGATTCTACCGCCAACGCTCTGCTTCATTGAGACTTGGGTCTCATATAGTGCAATCACAGAAAGGGGCTAGCAATTGGCTACAGCTATACATTTTGCTTGAAAACACCTTTTCAAGCTTCGTAATTTGCGAAGACTCCCTAAATCGATTTCCATAGCACCCTTGATATTAATTATCAGGAAGCGCACACCCCATATGTCGGCATGGATTTAACCGGATAAGAGGTTGAAAATATCACCATTGAAAGAAGAGAATACCCTCCTCTGGTTAGACAACTGTCGAGCTCGTCGCATTTCTTATGCAAAACATCGCTGGTATGGCAGCTGTTCGCGGCTGAACAGTCATCGATTCCCATTGACTTGAAGCTCTGGGTGAAAAAAGGATCGGAAGGTTTTTCTGCGCGCAGATATTTCTATTAGCTTGATTTCCGCATATCAGCCGCCCTTCCTAAAATCGTATTAGCTGCCGAAATTCTAGCTAATAGGCTGAGCACTCTTCTAGCCTCCTTCCCTTCTCGTCAGCCGGCTTATCCAGGCGTGAGAGCGCCGCAGCGCAACCGCCTCGCCCCCAAATGCGATTTCTGCGGTGATTCGCGCAGCTGTCAGCAGAGGAACTCTCGCAATTATCATGTCAAGCTTATTGGATTTCCTACAAGTTAATAAGCATAAGGTATGGTCTTTTCCAGTTTTTTGTTTTGTGGTGCATTTTCTCAAGCATGGTTAAGTCAAGAATCGGGTTTTATCTTGATATTTGCTAGAGAATATAATCGCTTTTTTTCAATCGGCTTTTTTCCAAAATAAGAGTATTACTCCATGTTCGTTCAAGCTGCAACGAGCAGCCACGATCCCTCTGATTAGTTGTGCATCAAGATATTATGTCGACGTTTTCAAAATCCCTTTATTTGTTCACAGATATTTTGTAATTTTCTTGGGACATCTTCGCATGGTAATGTTCATTTTGGTCTCAGCTCACAAGGGAGGCTTGTAAAGTCGAAGTGGAATTTCCAAATGATACCCGTCTGTACTAATACTGTCTTGAAGAGCATTGAGCGGTGATACCAAATTTGCCTTCCAAATCTGCCAATCACCTTTGGACGCCGAGTTATGGGCGCTTTTCAGGCCAAAAAACTGAACGCAAAACTAGAACAAAATCGCCCAGATTTGCTCAAATGATCCAGTGTCAAGTATTCAGAGCCACTTACGCAAATGGATACATTTTGTCTAATATGCTAATACTTAACACAGCTTTACCTGAGCTGGAAAGATTGTAACAGTCGATTTTACCCAAAATCTCCATTCATTTTTCGTTCCAAAGAACGGCCATAACTCGGCGTTTAGAGGCGCTTGGCAGATTTGGAAGGCAGATTTGGAATCACCGTGCAATACTCTTCAAAGTAGTATGGATCTAATATGAAAAAGCCTTTTCGACTAACCACTCAGACAATGGATCGGACCCCTCCGCTGGGGAAATGGCAGGGTCGCGGCGTTTCCCCAGCGGTGGGTCACCCATTTCTCCGGCGGATACCTCCCATCTTCTGCTCCGGATACCCCCCATTTTCTGCTCCGGATACCTCCCATTTTCTGCTCCGGTTACCTCCCATTTCTGCTCCGGAGGCCTCCCATTTCTGCTCCGGACCCCTCCCATTTTCTCCGGCGCGACTCCGCCAGATTTGCCAGGCTCGCGCCGGACAAATTTGTCCGGCGCGAGCCTGGCAAATCTGCCAGGGTCGCGCCGGAGAAATGGCGGACCTTTGCAGCAGGGCCGGAGAAGCCTCCCATTTGCCTGGCAGTGATGTCAAGCGAGGGACCGCCCATTTGCCCCGCTCTCATTGGTCAATTGGGTCCGGCGCGAGTCTGGCAGTTTCGGCTTGCCCAGCGGAGGGGTCCGATCCATTGTCTGAGCACGCTTCCCTTGTCAGATATGTTGTTTCAAACACAAGTTTTGTGTTTCACATTCAAGTCTTTACATTCCCTTTTTCATCATTTTATCGCAGTTCTGTACTACATGTCTATCAGTATCATTTTATGAAACCTATAAACTGCGCTGTTCCCACATTTGATCTAGACACTAAATTAAGCTGTACCTCGGTCAGTGGTTACATACGACAATCAATCGCGTGACCCATATGTGTACATACTTTTTGATAGCATAGACAGCTTGCACATTTAATCAAAAAATGGTGTACCCAAGACCTGCTTTGATTGAATAATGGTGCAGTTGAGCATATTCATTCTTTTTGAGATGGTCCTGTCCACTTCAAAACATGTAGTTTGACAGGTGCGCTCTTGTTTCAAACTTAGAGATTACATGCTCATTTGTACGCATGCATCGGCTATGTGAAGTTGTTGGTTTACTGGAGTTTTTGCTTCATAACAGGGACAAGGTATACAAACTCAAAATATGGTCTGTCTTTCAAGTGTATGTACAGTCTCTCACTCATCCGGTTTTAGACATTTCGGCCTAAGAAGAGATTTCCCCAAGGGACGCTCCGATACAATCTTCACAAGAAAGCAGAAGCTACACTACATTCTGGTGTTGATCTTCGGACAGCCGTGAGATTACCTCCTAATGAGAATTTGGATGATTGGATCGCCGTGCACAGTGAGTTTATTTTGTTTGCGTCTGTCAAAATGTACAAATAACCTTTTATTCTCTCTTCTTTTTCCCATTGTTTTGAAGTAGGGTCAACTCAGCTTCGCCAGCAATGTTTGCTTTTTTTGGATTTAGCTCGGACCCGCGAACGCTTTTTGATCTTGGCGAATCTTCCTTCTTTCTACCCGTAGTATTCACTAACGAAGCTTCTAGTTGCCATTTTGCTGGAAAATTCTAACTGTTTGAAATTTTCTTGTGGAAGTCATAAAATCTTTCCCACCTTTATACCCTTATTTCAACCAAACTATTCTCCTTCTCACAATGGGATGTACACTTGAACGTTTTCTTCTCTCAAATGAGTTTGGTACCACATTGTACATAGTCGATCATGGGATATCATGAACATTTTACTCAATTCTGTGCATTTACAGCTGTCGATTTCTTCAATCGGATCAACTTGATGTACGGTGTTGTTGCTGAAGTGTGTACGAAGCAGTCTTGTCCTACGATGTCCGGAGGATCCAAGTTGGTTCTAAGAATTCCATATAAGTCACCATATTTTTAGTACACCTTTTTCGTTATCTGAATTTTCTTATGAAACCTCGCAAACTAGGCTTGGAATTTCACGGATCTAGAAAGGTAAAAACCGTTTCGGTTTTTTTGCATTGTGAGCTCTCTGAAATGGGGTCGTAAGGGTGGGGCTTCCGATTTTGCGAGAGTTATAGGTGGCTGGTTATAGCTACAAATCCAAACAAACATTGAAATCGTGAGCAAACACTCGAAATCTGCGTATCCAGTTCTTCTAATCATAGTTGTCTTTCTAGTTTTGCAAATCCATTGATTCTCATTACGATCTTGTTTTTGCGACCGGGATTTTTTCCTTGAATTAGCTAGGAACCACTAATGGCTCATTTTCTCGAACCTTTTGAATCTGACAATCTAACATTTTGAGGTATGAATACCTTTGGCAAGATGGAGCTGAGTACAAGAAACCAACTCGCATCCCCGCTCCAGATTACATGATGTTGCTGATGGACTGGATTGAAGTAAGAATAAACGATGAGAATGTCTTCCCAACTTCCACAAGTACGTTTTTAGAGGTTTGAAGAATGGATGCATTCAGAGTTTATATTTCAGACATCCCTTTCCCCAAAGATTTCCGTCAGATGTGCAAAAAGATACTTACGCGTTTGTTCCGGGTATTTGTGCATGTCTATATCCATCATTTCGACCGCTTAGTCGATATAGGCGCGGTAAGTTCTGATTTATTGTTTTCCCATTTTATCAACTTCTTTGGCAACGAATCTAATTTTCTTTCGCTATTTGAACAGCGCCATCTGGATCTTTTTGAACATGCCAAACAAATTTGTTGAAGTAAAAGACAGTATATGATAACTAAATGTATTGTTTCTCATGTTGCACATGCTTAGGAACCGCACGTCAATACCTTGTACAAACACTTCTACTTCTTCGTTACTGAGCATAATATGGTGTCATCTAAAGAGCTGGAAGCGCTGGTAAGTCTACCAAACATTATCTTGGTTTTTTGCTTCGAACGTAAAAATGCCCTTTGTTGGGGATTTCGTCGACTTAAGCATAAGTATATGATATTCCACTGGTGTCAGCAGCCAAGTTGATTACGTCCATGGCCCATGAGTAAAATTCCGCGAATTAGATCGTGTGAACAGTTTGGTGAGCGTAGTCATTTTTTTTTTGAGAGAGAGAGAGTTGCTGTGACCTAAAAACTATCTTGCTTTGTTTTGTGTCCTTACAAATAGTAGTAGTTTTAGCAGTGATGTTATGAAAACAACGTTTCTATTGATTTGCGCTATGTTGACTCAAATGCATTTTCTGATTCCAGAAGGACATGACGGCGAGACTCCTCGAAAGCAGTCAGAATCGTCGTTTCAGAAACTTACAGCCTAAACTCGGTGCTTGAATGAATTCTTTGAGATCACTCTATGTTACACTGCTGCCTTCGATTGTTGGTACGTGGTTGTGCATTGTTCACTTGATTGAAAATTTTGTAAAACTCTAGTGTGCATAATCAACTAGTTTTTGCCCTGAACACGAGTATGTCTTTGCTTTCATTGTAATCATGTGTTTTATTCATTACTTAGAGCATCCGCAGTTAGAGCTTCTATTTAGAGCTTCCGCATTTTATATAACACATTTCTCAAATAGCATTGCATAATTTTTCTCCATTAACGGCAGGGTTACGCATTACGCATTCAAAAAATATTTTTATGTGTATCTTATGTACATATTTTGTAGTGAAGATTGTTTATAGCATTTAATAAAGCATTGGTCCTTACTCTTGTGTGGAAGTATTAGCAGGCTCAAATAGACATGAAATAAGAGACACACTTGTTTTTTCACAATATGTCACAAAAATTGCCGGATATATTGAAAGGTATAACTACAAACACTCGCTATCTATCGAAGCAGCTACGGGGGGGGGGGGGGGGTACGAAGTATACATGATACCATTAAAGGTCAGCGAAACTTATAGGGCATCCAGGTGTTAGTTACACAGTTTGTTGAGCATTTTCTCAAGTTGAGAATTACACTCTTATTGAAAAAGTCTGATAACGAAAGCGGCGACATTTTATCCGCACATGGGTATAATCGAGCATCATTGATGTTGCCATGGCAATCTAGGATAGTGAGTGGGTTGAGAAAGGGGAACAAGTGGCTTTGCCTAATCCTCCAGCAATCTTGTTCGTCGGTAATGACCGTACCCAGCTCAGATCGAGGTAATTCAAATTTTTCTCATTTTAGCAACAATTCCTTTCGATTACAACTTTCATAGCTGAATTCGACAGTTTGAATAAAGCAAACTAGTCTCATCTAATCCACAGAGTCTAAAAATTTGTGACTGAAAAGTTGCAGACTTGTTCGGAACTTCTACAGTCATCGACATTATTGCTTTCTAGTCATGTCTGTGATGAATTTGTATTTTACTCATAAAAAAAAGATTTTATGTAATCGAAATCGAAGAAAATGCGAGTTCGTATATTTTTGGTAATCCATAACACTCATTGAATCATTTGAGATTACTAAATAGCTATAGCTTGTTCAATTTTTTCACTAAAGCAAGGTTTTTTCCATGAAAAATTGTGAGTTGAAAGCTTACAGTACATCTACAGTATTTTGGCCTTGCTCGTACAAATTCATTTTTAGTCATAAAAAGGTTTTGTATATTCGAAATTGAAAAAAAATGCTGTTTCACAATGTAGATTCTGAATTTTTTCACATTCAGTGAATGACTTGAAATCTGTAAGAAGTTACAGCTTGAATTATTTTTTTGGTAAATCAGTTTTTTTTTGAAAATCTGAGTTTTAGCGGTGGCTACATATTCATCGCTTCGGACAGCTGTTCTCAATCTTACACCAGGAAATTTGAAATGTCGACTATACTGTGATGGTCCGGCATGCAAATTCTGTAAATTATACAATGGATCATCCGTAATTCCTGGTCTTTACTCTTCTTGGTTTGTGCTGCTATTATTTTTACAATTCAAAGACTTCTCGAAATATTTTCTGATTTCCAGGATTACCGACGATATACTTGCAATGGCTAGACCACAATTATTCCATTTCGAGAATGATAATATTATTCAGTATTTCAAGAAGTAAAATACTTAGTCTTCCTATAGTTTCTGTTTTCTTCTATTCAGTTTTTGACTATTTCAGAAGCAATATTGTTGCCGTTTTTAATCTACAAGAACCCCAAGAGCATGCATTCTGTGGCGCAGGAAATGTCATAAGCGGCTTTAGCTATTATCCTGAGCGATTCATGGAAAATAATAGTGAGCTTTGTCATTTCAAAATGCCTTTTAACTAATGTTTATTTCAGTATTCCACTATAATTTCCCTCTACCCGATTTTGAAGCTTGTCTTGTTGAGCGGATGGCAGACATTGTGACTGTCATGGTGCATGAATTGAAGAAAGGTAATTACTGTGACTTCAGTATAAATGCACTTCTGTCATATGAGGTGTGAAAAGTTACTTAGGGTGGAGCTTTCAACGCACATGCCTAGCAATGCACTTGAACAATGCCTCAAAGTTCACGGAATTCCTAACGCCGAATCTTGGGGGCTATGCTCACTTTATTGAAAAAAAGAGTGATTATTGAAACCACCCCTGTTACATAGAATGCTCGCTCCTCCTTTGAAAACAACTGCATTCCATTGACCGACTGTACTAAAAAAATAGCAAATTTCAGATAAGGTTAAGTATCTCTCGGAAACGGCTGAGAGTTTGCCGAAATACTGAGTTGAAATAGCAATTTGGAGCGAAGTTGTCTTCTTAGAATCACAACACTTGCCTTTGCTTCAGAGACCCCATGTATAGACTGAAATCTGAGGAACCCCTGGAAATACATAAAAATTGTAAATGGTGGTGAGGAACATAAGCAGTAGTCAATACGGCAACAGTTGACATAATCCTCTGCTGCCGCTCTTCCGTTTCAACAACGAATAAGTAAGAGAAGCAGTAATTTTTCTGTTGCACGATCTTCAGCATTGTGTCGTCGGCAACATGGGACTAAATTTACCCTAAAATCCCGCCAATAAGTCCGGCCTTATCTGCATTTTTTGACACGAAAAATTGATAAAAAATCGCCCTCTGCGCTGCCAGAAGTCTATGAATCCTCCCGTTAGACCGCAGCAGATCTGCTAGACTTCTGGCAGCGTAGAGGGCGATTTTTATCAATATTTCGTGTCAAAAAATGCAGATAAGGCCGGACTTACTGGCGGGATTTTAGGGTACTACATTTTTGCAACACCTTTTTGGAAATAACCCTTTGGATAAATGAGTAGCGTGATGAGAACCCATCAATATTTCAATTTCAATTTTGTGAACCTTCTTTTCTTTCCTCTGTTTCTACCTTTTTTTAAGCAACTTCGCCAAAATAAGGGGTAGCATTTTGCTCGTCTCACTCCTGAAGTAGAAGCTAATTTGTAGTCCAATGAAGACTGCATTATGATCCTCCTCTACAGCGAAAATAACCATCGTATAATCGTATACTGGCTTGCTTTTAGCAAAAAAAATCACGAAGAAGAAACTTCAAATCTCACAGCGGGCCAAACTTTCTTTTGAGAGTGCATGAAAAATTAAAGTGTTTTTTTTGGTGTGATAAATAGAGTCAGTCATTTGAAATAGTCTCGAAGTGAACTCAGTGTATAAAATGATTTTCACTTACTTAAGACCCACGATAGACATTCTTTATGACTTAAAAAGGGAATTTGAGTGCAAGGTTTCGCTCCTCAAAGTCAGTAAAAAAAGCGATGATTATTACATTCAGGAAGAATCGCCGTGCATTGTCATGCTGGTCATGGAAGAACTGGAATGGTGATTGCAGCCTGTCTAATGCGAACGCGAGGTTTGACACCTCGCAAAGCTGTCGAGCTTGTTCGAAGCAAACGGTATCTTCTTTTTACCATTAAAAAATGGCTGAAAATCCCACAATTTCAGTCCGAGTTCAGTACAAAGTGGCGATCAAGTGCAAGCACTGCATGCTCTGCATATTTTCTTCTCCAATGGAGCTCCTATACTACCAGCACAGCCGTATCGATCTACATCTCTTTATGTGGAATATACTAGCCGTATCTTGCCTAAGATGGATGTGCGGAAATATGGGAATGTGCCAAAGGTGATTTTGAATTTATATGTGGAGGGGAACGAATCTCACAAAAAATGTTATCCCGCCTTGAGAGCAAGAATTTTGGAAATAGCACTTCAACCTTAGTTTTGGGTAGTTTGTGGGGACCTCAGCAAGGTCTGACAGTTGTCCGCTTCCATGGAGAGAGGAAAATCCATAAAAAAGTCTATCGATAACGTCTGAGTATTTCGTACGCTTTCACAGATGCATATCTTATACAAAACTTTGTGATTCTTGCATCGACAAGAAGAGCAGAAATTGAGGATTATCCTTTCCTACATAAGAGAGCACTTCAGGCTTAAGTGCTCACAAACAGGCTCTTTGGATTAGGCAGTAGCAATCGTAGTTGAAAGGCATCTATAGCAGATGTGTAATGGGCTCTCTCATCCCATGGCTCTCACAATGAAGGATTGATTTCACATGCAAACAGAGCAAATTTACACTAAGGCAACATTACTCTCGTATACTATCGTGGAATGGCAAGGGATATAGGCGAATGGGGTGTAACGCTTTGGAAAAAAAAAAGAAGACATTTCTACCTATCAGTGTTGTCCCTAGACCCGCTTACTAGATCAGGAAGATTAGTTAGCGCCCGAGAAAAATCAGCGCTGGGAGAAAGTAGTCGCTCATTTTTTTATCCTTGCCCATTCGGGTAAAAATCAGCAAACATCATTAGTGGTAAGCAAAGACAACGTGCTTTTTGGCTGCTAGTGTTCTCCCATTTAATAATGTGAGAACAAGATTGTACAGAGTGTTACGGAAATGTATCAAACGCTTGATCGCTGATAACTTTCTAAACTAACTTTTCAGTAACTTCCGCGTATCTTCATGCACTATAGGATTGGCTCAACTCAAATTCTCGATAGAAATTATCTATCCATTTTTGTAGGATGATAGTAAGAATTGACAGTTTTTTTACATCTAGAGAGCTATGAGAGCTATGAGCTATGAGATTTTTTGCCCCAAGAAATTATCCGGTAGAGATGCGAACTTCGTTTTCAGAGTTACTTAGCATTGCTGATTCCATATGTGAGCTTTCTGTCATACCGTAATTTCTAGTCCAGTAGTTACGATATAGTGCAAAATTCCCACTGATTGTTAAATATTTTCTTGTATCATTCCAACCGCTTTACAAGCTTGCACAAATCTCAGACGATATTTCCCTACTGGCAGCCTAATTTGCAATGACGACATTGTGCTAGAAGTTCCTGTCGTAATCCTACAGTGATGAAGGGCGATGAGTGATTGTTGTACTGTAGAGTCAGATTTGAGCCAGACCTAGACTATACCACGAAAATCGAAAGCTTCTCAAATATGGAATCATTAACGGCAAACGTTTGATATAGTTTTTGGCAGACCCTGTCTAAACTCAGCTTTACTGAAAAATTAAAGCAAAAGGCTCACTTCAGGTAGCGCCAGAATAGGCACAGCAAAATCGGGGGACTGATACGAACTAACGTTCACAATAATTGCTTTATTTCAGCCAATCTACGTAACCGTAGTCGCTTTGCTTCGCATATTCTTCTCATCAGTGGTGCTTAGGCTACAAACAACAAGTAACCCTTTTTCATGTTTCCGGTTCGAATGTGGAGAGCCGACATCGTTTAGGTAAGTGGAACTATTTTAAGTTATTTTTTATGCTTAAATTATTTGAAAACGAAGATTAACAACTTATACAATTTGTTTACAGGATAACAGAAGAAATGTTGAATCTGATGAGTGTTGGTGTCACGGCTCGTGGCCAGTCCTGGTATTCACAACGAGTTCGTCAAGGAATGAACATCTTAAATCTTGAACGTTTTGTAGAAGTAAGCAAGTAGTACAGTGATTATCATCATCTGAGTAAGGTTTTCCATCAGAGTTCAAGTTAATGTCATAATCTTGCAGACAGAGCACAGTGTGGTCGAGCTGGTCTCGTTTATGGATTACTTCATCCGTTCCGCTTTTTTTCAGCTCACGTCTCCGGAAAGACTTGCGGCATTTCTTAGAAACGGGAACGATTCAAATGTAGAGGTGTGTACATAATAGTCTTCTACATTTTTTAAAATGATGTAATTTACGTTCCAAGGACTGGTCCTGGAGCTTTTATGTGCTTCTCTCCGCCATTAGCCTACTTCCACAGCAAGCACATGAGAGGATGTCTAAGTTAGTAGCTCAATGGTTTGCACGATGCGACGGTGACTCTTGGAAAGCGATATACTCTTGGATTGAAGAAAACAACAATAATCATGAAATTTCCAGTTAGGATAATGAGAAATGATTACATGTGAATAGATACCCTTTGATTCAAAGGGTTGGCGGCTAGAAGGCGGGCTTAGATCTAATCGAGACTAGAAAGTTGTTAGAGAGCACGCTCGCGCCAGAGACGCAGACTGCGTTGCGGTGCGAGCGATCGCTTTCCAGCCGCCAATCCCGTTGAATTAGAGGGTAGCTGTATATTCTTATCCTTTTCTACTCCCGTTTGTTAAAAGCCATAGTTCAGCTTGTCTTTCGATAGGGAATGAACGTAGTGCCTCCGGTTGCGATTATAAGGGTCCCGTTATTGCATAAAGCATTTTGAATATGTCGCATTTGTTCCTTTCTCATTTAAGAAGCAACACTTTCAATTTTTACTATCACAATCTACCTTTCCATTTCTCTAACTATGAAGTCTGATCAAATTATTAAGGTTTCTTTTCACACATTTCACTAAAACCGTCGTCTTTTTTTGTGTTATCTTCCCTTTGGCTTGAATAATCATTCGACAGGGCAAAGCAATCCCTCCAAGATGGTTACCGAAAGTCTGTCCGCCCCAATCGTGTTCCACATTTTTTGAGCTGAAATGTGACAGCGGCCAAGAACGAACTTTACCGTCAAAAATCGTATCTCCACTCCAAAACTTAGAAATTCCACACTCCTCCTAGCATATGCTTCACACATCGAACTTTCAATTGTACACTTTCCGTACTTCCTCCATAGTCAGAATTAAAGAAAACACGAGTGGAGTAAAATGGCAAACCCTTTCCCTAGACGTCGCCTTAATAGTTCTTATTGTTAGAGATTTGCGTATGCATGCTAGATGCCAGAAAATTCGTTCGGGTAGGGGAGAGGTGGAGGGAAGGAAGGAGAAAAGGAAGTCTTTCTAGGTTAAGCAGAGTGGCGTTAACCACGCCTTCTGAAAAATTTTTGAGATGTGACCAAGTTAATTCGTTTTTAAAATTTTGACTAAATCGTTTGTACAATTTCAAAACTCAAGCAGACATTCAAATATTTTGCCACCCATTCTCGGTGAGGGGACCTCCATCCCTCTCAGTCCGCCACTGACGAGACCATCGGCTCATTGCTACAATATGAGACAATCAACATTGCGTAGCAAATCAAATTTATTTTTATCATCTGATAAGACATTTTTTGGATTTTTGATATATCTTTTATGACTCTGTACCTCTAATGAATCTTCTCTAAGCACTGTGGACTGAAAGCTAGAATTATGTCATGATTTTAGCTTTCATCTTGTGCAATCATAATCCTTCAAGCGTCGGAAACCTTTCCGCATCTGTCCGGGTGAAGGCAACGAATGAACCGCAAAGAGCACCGGCTCCGATCCATTACATGGCAATCGTTTTCGTCGCCAGAAGTCCTGAAAAAAGTAGATTTATTGTAGTCTCTTCCTCCACAACGAACTATTCAGGAACGCGCGAGGGGACTTCCTCAATACAGCCTGGACATTTCATGGAAAGTAATTAAGTATCAAGAGCTCCAGATAGATTTTTAGGACCCTACCTTCCATATTATGTTACCTCTCCAATCAATTCTCTGGACATCCGCTATTTCGGCAACAATGCCTGTGTAAAATAAGTCCTGAAAATTCGGAAACGTAGATGAGAAGATTATACAAATTGTATCATCCGACCTCTATAATTAGCGGAGGGAATATGCGGGCATAGTCAAGAATAAGTTGCCCAGCTTCTTTGCCCATCACGTACAAGCCACCCATGCAATAAGTGGGAAAGTAGGGCTCAGGCCATACACTATCTGGCACGTACCTGAAAAGCTGGAAGCTGAAGAATGGTGGAAAAGTTTGGTCAAATTTCTACCTAGTAGTAATTACAGGGCTTGAATGCCAATTTGATAGTGCTCAAAAACACACACCGCCCAAGTTCGAGATTAGTGAAGCTTTGTTGTCATATAGTAGCGAGGCCAAGCTAGTAAATTTATAAATTTTAAAGGTTATGCACGCTAGCGCGCGATGCCCATGGAGAGAAGCTTTTGAATCGTCGCATGCTAGGGTATTTTCTCAAAGTTTTCGCCTCTGGAAGATTGTCCTGAAACTCTAAATTTATGCACTGTACTCTCACGCTCAAATGATTCGTGATATGATCTGCTCATTTTTCGTTGCTCCTTAAAAGAAAAACTGAGTATAAACATCTATAGCGGAATTGAACCAATCTTGAAAACGGCTGTTGGATTTGGCGTCATAGCGATAAATTCTTAGTGAATTACCATTTCCTCATGCGCTAGGTTAAGGATAGGCTAGATGCGTCGTAAGTGTTAGAGGCATCGTCTACCCAAACGACTTCTATGTTTTCATCGCTTTCAGGCCTGCTGAAGTCCTGATGCTTTGAGTGCTGATTTCGAATATAGAGTCGAGAATCCGCGATACCCCCAAATCCCCCGGTTCGAGAGGGGCGCAATGCAAGTCGAGGGGCTGCGGCGCTCATATACCCCGGGTACGTCATTCGCATACCTGCAAAGTGGGCGGGATGACCACCTGGGCAGGGTGACCAGCACCGGAATACGTCCCTTCCGCAGCGGATTTCTCGCTCCGGAAGCAATCTTTTGCTGCGCAACATGGGGGTTTGCCTAGTGTAAGGCCCCCGCCAGTATGCTATCATAACCTCGTCAACCCCCATTTTGGGTAGACGGTGCCTTTAAGCGGGCAAGAGCACCAAGTCTTGGGTGAAATCTAGGTGCTTAGGGCCCATCAAGCCATCACAACGGCTGCTGTCGATTTCAGTCATAGTTGCAGTGAGGAGACGGCCAGTTTGCACTACCGTTCCTTACTACGCTCATCACTTGCCGCAGATCGTTGCGCATTCGGTGTCGCCAGTTGCTGCATCCCCAGACATTCTTTGACAGTACTATTGTCACGAAGAAGACCGACATGGATGGAAGGACGAACTCCGCCATTAGGCACACGCTTCTGATCCACATGACAGACTTGGTCTACTTGATCCTCGGTATTGATCGAATCAGTGAACTGACCAATAGCGATGTAGATGTCCATTTGATTCACTGGATCCACTTCGCGATCAGTTCACTGATTGTACCAATGCGAAGTAGATCAAGTGGATGGGTGACTATGGTATGTGCCTTATGTGTCTCAGGAGCCGCCTTCGCGGTGTAGTGGTTCTCATAGGCTATAACATGTGCAGGCTATGTAGAATCTAATTGCTCACACCTTGCTTTGCACACCGGCATAAGCAAGCCATTGTCGCGATGGACTTTGAATAATTATTTTCGTTTAAGGAGCTCCTCAGCTTTTGTCTGTTTTCTTGCTTACGGGATATGCTTCGGTTGAAAGTGACTCCAAAAACTAAAAGTATGCCTGAAGCAAGTGACGCTCACTATTGCTTGATAAGCTTGTAGCTCTCGGGGACCCACGTTTTCAAGCGCTGCCGTGTTGGTGTTCATAAGCGCGGGTAATAGATAGTTCCACAGCCTGTACAGAGGACCAGTAGCCTGCGGAGGTGGCGCTTATTGAAAGAGTTCGCGTACATCAGCGCCTTCAATACACTCTGCGGGCATGCGCCGAACGCACTCTACTTCATAGTCGAAGAGGCTACTGGATGCTTACAAGCTTTTACAGTGCAGAATACAACTAATTCTCAAGTTTGCACTTGCAGTCTCCTGGATTTGCAGCCAATTCGTCACCCTGGAAAGCATAGAGCTGTGATTGGTTCCGGGGCGGCGAACCTTGGTCCGACCTGGTCATAGCGGTGCCTCACACCCACTCGTTCCCTACGGGCACTAACCGTAGCGAAATATTTCTTCGCATGATTCACAGACATGAATTTGGCTTGCGTTTACAGCAGAACTGACCATTTATGATGAGAGTCCGTTATACGTGGTGTTTTCCTCAGCAAATGACAGAACAAGGAACTACTAGCTTGATCGTCTATAGTCCAAGATTCAAGCATACGATCAAGATGCACGGCAATATCTTCGTCAACTTTCATGAGGAAGCGTGCCGAATGACAGTATTGTTGATGGAAGACAAGTGTAGCATACACCTGTAACGTCATCATCAGAAAATCTGTCTTAACTTGCCACTCACTTACCTTCAAAAATAGATCTTCGTAGGTTTCTGGCAGATCTGTCACAATCAAGTCGTTATACTTGAATTGCTCTTTCTGCACTTTGTATACCTCATAAATAGATGATGGAGATGATAAAATGAAGAACACTACTACATGACCGGTCTAAAAGATAGTTTACATTATAATGACACTTCGAAATAGCAAAAAAGAAACAAAAAATAGTGGAGCAGAGTTCGAGGAGCAAAGCTCGCGTTGAAAAGAACTTCAACGCAAGCCTTGCTTATAAATAAGCTTCATATCCCTTAATGGCCAATTTTTTTCCAAAGCTGAAAGCTTGTGTTTTTCTCGGAGTCTGTTTTTGCCATTTATTTTCCCGCGATTGAGTTTTGCTGATAAGATAGCGCTGGTAGTATCCCCTCGCCCATAGTCCTTAGTGGAATGTTTTTCTGTCAGAGGGCGCGGATCACCGACCTACCGATCTTCAGCGGGAAGAAAAGCCCGCGTTGAGCCCTTCGGCAGGGTATAAATACCGGGAGTCAGGGGGGAGTCTCAGTCTGCGCTGGGGAAACGCTAGCGGGAGCTAACTCCGTCGAAGAGAGGCGGATCTCCCCCTTAGGTAGAGAGTAACTAGTAAGCCTGCCGAAGTGGTCAAAGAGGGTAAAGCCCGTCGTTTCGTTGTTAAGCCTTGTTCAAGTTACGCATTCTTGTTTCTTGTTGTTCGTTGCCGTTTTTCTGAGATAAATTATTAGTCGTTCAATCCGTGTAGTCTATCGATCCGGTTGAAACCGTTATACCACTAGACACCCCCGGCTACATGGGGGCCGAGCAGACCTGGATCGATTGAAATACACACGGGGCGACTGATATTGACTGTCTCAGAGGCAAGACAGCAGAGAACGCGTAGAACAGGCCAAGAAAGCGAAACCAAAAGACCAAAAAGGTGGATCTGTACGTCATCAAGCAGGTGACGTAGTAACAGGCCAAGAAGGCCAGATCTAAGATCAACTGGAAAAAAGTCTCTATCATATCATACAGAGCAGGCAGTCAAGGTATAAGGAAGAGTGATTATTGATCGAATCATCCACGCTTAATAGAGGCGTGCGTGAGTATCGATTGTGATTGACTCTCGATCAGCTGAGACGCGCGATTTCGCATGCGGCGTTGATTACCGATGAATTTAAAGGCAAGGCGAAGCATTCCGCTTCCGAGTATATTCATATTCATGGATATGGATCAGAAGCAAAGAGGTGCAGATGATATCCATGAGAGAAAAGCACACTTGATGATGGAGGAGATAAGCCTCATCAGAAAAGAAGTAGAAATGCTACCTGGGATGGTGAGCAAGGTCCTTAGCCGATTTTGCTATCCTGCAGGAACGAACTCCGCTTGGAAGGTCTGGTCAGTGGAATATCCCCTGGTCCCCAGCTTTGTTGAATATGCGGTTGCCGAAAAAATTTGACCCGGTTTTTTTGCGATAGATTCTCGTGGATATTCGAAATAAATTTCGCTTGTATCGAAATTAGTGGTGGCATTTATCAGCTATCTCATGATTTAACATTTGCTATGCGCATATGAGACCATATGCTGATCCGTTGTAAGTCGTTCGTTTGGGACTGCACATGGCGGAAGACCCGGTAAGTTCGCTTTGAATCATTCCTTCAATTTAGAAACTTGGTGAACAGTGATACTTATGAGAGGAGTGTTTCCGCCCCGGCTTTTTTTTACACAAGATGTAATTGGGAATGCTGCTTCCAAAATGTGATTCTCTATCCAAGTTCTAAGTCTGAGAGACGATTCTCTTGAATCGCGGGCATTGGCGAAAATTTTTCAAGTCGCTGTAACTTCAATCAGATAGATTCTTCTAGAAGCTACAAACTTCATTGCAAAGACATTTTGTCCACAACATATATTTCTCTTGCTGGCTTTTCAGCAACTCACTGCGGTCTACCAGCATTCGCAAAAGGGAACAAGGTCGACGCGAAAAGTGGTCTGTTTGTGCAGGATTATCTCGGTCATCATGAGAGGAGAGCTCAGATGCTGTAGTCATATAGAAGTCTGCCAGGGCTGTTATGGAGATTATTTACGTCTCTGAGCGACTACCTGCAAAAAAGTTTTACCAGAGAGTTTAAATCGACCATATTTTCCCCCAAAAATGCACCAATTTTCGAAGCGACTTTCAAGTCTTCTCGTTCTACACAGGGCGAACCGAATCTTTGATTACTGCAAACATTGTTGGGGTAATGCCTTACACATCCTTTGGACCCACCATCCACGCGTGGCGATCTCCACAGAAGCGACGCCAGTTGCGAAAAGAGTTGCAGTCAGAGGCAATTTCGACAGCTTTCTGAGCGCAAATCGCAAAACCCGAGTGCAGCTGCGGGTCAGAAGCTAACAGGCTCTTCAATCAAATCACCACGAATTTGCACGAAATTTTTTGAACTGCACAAAATGGCGCAGGAAGAATAATTGTGAAATTATTGTAGTTGGAAAGAGTTCCTTTTTGTTTTGGCACAATAAAAATCAAAAACGGCTTCAAAAGCTAAGGTTCCCCTTTACTGAACAGTATAAAAATCTTAGTGTCGAAATTCGACGGAGCACCAAAAAAATGCGTCAGAAAATAAAATTTCCAAAAGCGCCCGGAACTTTCTTTACAACCTAATACAAGACTAAACTCTTGCCCATGGAGCCAAGATAACTGCGACCAAAGAACTCTAGACCCTGCTGCTCCTTAAAGGCAGTGTCCGGGCAAAAACTCGATTTTGAGATTTTGTGCTTACCCGGGCCTTTTCGCTATGCTGAATCCGAAAATCCACATTGGAGAGCGCGAAAACGACGAAAAAGGGCTCTAATACTGGAGAGAAATCAGCAAGTGGGCGGGGTCTTCCCCACGGTGAATTCACGCTCCCAGCTTCGGGGGCGATCTTTTTAATTCCGGTTTCAAGTCATTCAATTGCACTTGATCGGTGGTGATGTCAGGGCGGCTAACGGATTCGAGAAAATTGCTCTGGAAGCTGGAAGCATGAATTCGCAGTGGGGAAGACCCCGCCCACTTGCTGATTTCCCTCCAGTGTTAGAGCCTTTTTTCGTCGTTTTCGTGCTCTCCAGTGTGGATTTTCGGATTCAGCCTAGCGGATAGGCCCGGGTAAGCACAAAATCTCAAAATCGAGTTTTTGCCCGGACACTGCCTTTAATAGAAACTTTGTGGGAAAGCTAGTATTTCGCGAAACACGGTGGTGCGGTCGAGCTGCTTGCTCAAAAAATGAACAGTAACTTGCAGCATCCATTTTACTAGAGATCCCATTCCAGCCAGAATAAGGAGCTGAGACTCAAAGAATAGGTTGAATTAACATGAAAATAAGTTTACCTTAATAGAATCCGAATTTTTAGCAGATGCCCAACTTTCGCGGATCGCTCGACGAAGTTCACTATGGCTTGCAACGGACAAAACAGTGACCACCATAAGAGGTTTACTACAACAGAATCTTTTTAGAGTACCACTTTTGAAGAGCAGAACAAGCACAATGATAACAATAAAAATTTTACGGACCTTCGAGTTGGCTTTTTGCGCGTAAGACAATGGATTAGGGTGAACAATTGGAAAAGCAGATTCTCTCATACTTTTTCAAGAAAAACAATTGAGAGTGAACCAGAAACTCACTTTTCACGTGAATCATGGCAGAGGGACAAGTTTGGCAACATGGTGTATCTGTAGGATGGAGTAAAGTCCGCCAAGCTTACTTTGTGTCCTGATGAGTTGTAAATGCTTGTTTTGTGAAAATCTCTGAGGAAGCTAATCTTTAGGAGGAGACAGTCTGGAATAAGTTGACTTGAGCTGCAAATATATGACCTTTGATTTCTCATTGAGCTTTACTTTGTCAGAAAGCATTCAGTCAAAAAGCATTTGTACATCTTTTTTCGGCTTCGCAGATAGTAGGTTTATTTTTTGAAGCATGCAATAAACGTGATCTCTCTTATCCTTGAGAAGAAAGCAACTATTAGGGTTGTAACGAAAGTTCCCGGGCAGTTTTGGAACTCGGTCGTTTATATGGTTCTGTAGAAGAAAGCCTAAGCTTTTCGAACGCGCATCCAGTTTTTATCGGTGTCGAACCGTATTCGACCTATTTGACCTACACACCAAGAGAGAAAGTCTGTGCAACGATGAAAGTTCCACATTTTTTCTTTTTGTCACGCTTCGGTCATTTCGTGGAAAAAGGAGAACTTCAAACTCATTTATTCAAAAAATGAGGCTTTTCAGGATGCAAAAATGGCCAATTAAAAAGGAAAAGTTTAGACTCATTTATTCAAAAATCAGGCTTTTCAGGATGCAAAAATGGCCAATTTTTCAATTGTTTCGAGAAAATTTTTTTTAAAGGCTGTGTTCTAAGATTGTGACACAGTCTATAAACAGCCCAGCAGAGTTCTATGTAATTACCGGATATGAGTCCAGCTCTCTTCTGCCTGAGAAATTCCTGCACCAACAGGCCAGATTTCAAATCGAACTTTTTCCCTACTGATGGCCCAATAAGCGCTCGGGACTCAACAAAATAGGCATACCTTCAGGCAACAGCCTTTGCAACAAAGTTGGATCGGCCTCCTTGAAGTTACAGCAGTTTGAAAAAAAATTTCGCAAGTGCTCGGGAATTTTCGTTGCAATCTAATATATGGCGATAAATTTGAGGTGTTGTTCATGGTTTTTACTTCAATCAGAATTTTTGAATTAGTTGTCGCATTCAACTCGGTCGAAACCTCGATGATGGTTCTTTTCGATACTGCATAAGGCTCCCCTGAATATGCTCACGTCTCATGTATTAGGTTGCCCGGAAAATAATGTAGCATCGTGTTTTATCATGCAATATCACAGCAGGGTGCACACGAAAGTAGCAAGTGGGGTATCAACCGATAGATCAGAGCAAGCTCTACAAAATGAATGTCGAACCTTCGCGCTAGGTCTGATTTTCGCAAAGTTTGGTGTCAAATTTCATAAGGCATTGAAGACCTAAAAAACGAAAAACGTATCTCCGTTCAGAAAAGTCCTGGAAACCTTAAAGGCAGCGTCTAGGCAAGATCCATCCACCCAGATTAGCATATAGTTGTAAAGGGGGGCCCATGAGTATCCGATCTGCGTTGGTCCAATCCTTTGACGTGCCCTCTAAAAGGAGATACGGGCCTGTGATACGTATCACAAGCCTCCCCTTCGTATCACAAACCACCGCTGAGGACGAGTGCTTACGCAGATGTGCGGTTGCATTGCAGTTGCATTGCAGTTGCAATGCAGTTGCATTGCACACTGCACTGCAACTGCATCCGTGCAGTAGCAGCTCCTCCCGCTGGCATGACGATGGGGACGAGCAATTCGAAACTCGTCCGCTCCTTGAAGAGAGGATCCCCAAGAACCGGGTTTCTTGGAAGTTCTGAACAATTTGGACTTTACAACTGTAACCAGGGCCACTGAAAGGCCCCAGAATGGCAGAAACATGAGAGGCGAAATTTTGCCCAGACCCTGCCTTTAACTTGCTCACGCATGGACTCACTATACGAGACACTCGTACGCACACCTTCGCGGTTTTCCATGGCTGAAAACTGAGAAAACGAAATCCGGCATATTTCTGCCAAAGCAATCCTGAGCTTCTCTGACATGGATGATTCTGTAGTATGAACCTTTGGGAGTATAACCATGAATTTTCACTTCAGACAACGCTAGTTTTCGAGAAAAATCAAATTGCTTGCAAAAATCCCGAAAAACGAGACATAATCGCACTTTTGACCTATTTTTGTTTGTCGTACTGTAGCCATGAAAAAATACCACAAACTATACAGGTGAATGTCTAGAGTAGAGAGTACATGCCTGTGCAATTTGGAGATCCCTAAGACATCTATGAACGAAGATACGATTTTTTGGGTACTTAATATTTTATATTTTGGATTCGAACTTCAGGTGGAGCAAGATTTCCGCGGAGGTTTGTGAATTATCTTGTAGAGCTTGCTTTGCTCTATCAAATGATACCCCGTTCGCTGTTTTTTGTGGTCATTCTTTCGCGGTAGGATGCCATGCTACATTATTTTTCGGATAACCTAATAAAAATACTCGAAAAATCATCTAAATGACTTACAAAACAACAAGAGGACGCATCCGACTTTCGTAGCAAGTGAGTATCTATGGGTCATATCTATCTGAAAAGAACACAGCTTATACTCCAAATCCAAACAGCAGTAAAACCTTTGAAATGCAGCTGAGAGTGGTGAGGGATTTTTTTATCTATTAGACTCTGCAGAAATTTTTCAAAGTTGAATATCATATCGTCACCCAAGTTGAGGAGATTATGTAGATAATCAAGGTGAAAAATCCGTTCGATGCTGCTTTTTTTTACTTCTGAGATCCTTTACTTACTAGTATTGGGTCGTTCCGAAAATAATGTCGCTTTTTTCGAATGAACGCCACTATTCGTGGGATCTACATTTTCAAGAGATCTTAGGAGCATTCGATGCAACATTTCATCCTCTTTCTAATGGTTCTAACTTTAGTGCATCAAGTTCGGCTATTTTTTTAAATTTTTGTACCTAATCTCCGAAAAAGTACAAGTGGCAGGTAGATAGAGCAAACACTATAGAACACAGAGTAATTTTTTCTTTTCTTTAGCTTGCTTCTCAGAGTTTCTACAATCAATTTCTCAGTGCCATCAAATTCCATATTTAGTCAAGTCAAACCTCACAGAACAACAACCGGCAAGCGACTCGGGTGTCATTCGATGCAGCTTTTTCTTCTCTTTCTAGCGGTTATTTTATGTTTCCGATCCATCAAGTTTTCCAGGATAAAACCATCATTATTCAACTTTTCCAAGGCACCCCAAGGTGTACCCGAAATTTTCGAAAGTTGCTAAACCGAAGCGGTGAATGCTCGTTTGGTTTGTTAAATTGTTGCCAAACCGTAATCCATCTTTGTAAGTTTCAAAACCCGAAGACTTGTTGGCGTTTGATGCACTTTGTCTGAGACGAGCCTGCTAAAAATCGGTGGTTCCATCAAAAAATCTGTACAAAAATTATGGCGAGCTCTGGAAAGTAGAAAAAATTGTGCTGTTTCCTGCAGGATTTGCTCCGTCCATCCATTACTTGGACTCCTTCTGAGGTTTGTTATAAAATTTTAGAAAAATTGTGAAACTTGGCCATCTCAAAAAGCATGGATCGCAGATTTTGACTCTTTTCTGTAAGCTCATTGACTGTATTGCAACAACTTCATAACCATTAGAAAGAGAATGAAATGCTGCTTCAAATGTTACCAGAATTTCTTACACATCTTTGTTCCACGAGATGTGGCATACGTTTGAAAAAAGCGACATTACTTTCGGAACGACCTAATATAATGATATGTGATGAAATAACAAGAGTCTCTAGAGCAGCAGAGGATCACTGAATACTAGATATTCGCGCATATACTTAGGTTGATGAGAAACGGGATTCCAAATAGCGCAGATGTGGTACTGTCTTTCGTTCAAATCCAGTAGCAAGAAAGTGCTGAAATAATAAAGTCGAAAATAACGAAAATCTTGAAATAGGTTACCTATTCTTACGAAAGAACAAAGAATTATTGAGAGAACATAATTGAGAACTAACTTCTACGAATGCTGATCTATAGAACAAAAACAATTACAACAACTATTATACAATTCGGTTAACTAGAACAAAGAGAGTGCCGGAAGTCCGAGGTGTAAAAAAAAAATGATTTTTTCTCGCTACCGAGCTAAACCATACTAAAAGTAGAAACTTTCGGTCAAAGGTTTTGCAGGATATCCTATTTGCGGAACGCTATGAAGGATCACTGCTGGATTGATTTTGCAACCTCAACGCAAGTGTAGATCACCAGCTAATAATAGGTCATCCCTATTGTTTTTCATTATTTCATTTGGTCGTGAAAGCGTGCTTCAATACAACAAACCATAGAGCAAGTGGGAGTGAGCTGAGCGGTAACAGGCAGAAAGAAAAAACAGTAAAGTTGGAAAGTACAGTCATGAACCAAATGTCAGTCATTTTGCTAAACGCTGAGCAACCACGACTGGAAATTCTATTTATTTATTTATTTAATACGCACAAGGCGTGCCCATTCAACAGAGGAACGAAGCATCACATTAAACAAATAGCAACAAAAAAATTTGGCAGCAGCTGTGTTTTTAGAAATTTTGCTAAAGGTTTCATAATCGTTAAAGTTAATGCTCGACTTTCGCTCGACAGTAATGCCATTTCATATCGTATATTTTTCCAGACGGTTTTCCAGCCACGGAAATTTAGCAGTGGTCCTACACTTTCTCATTCAGCCCCTCAATTGCCTCTACAAACGTTATCTTTCTGTTTGAAAATAACATATGGACTCTTCGATCACCCGGCAGCTGCATCAAAATTCTGAGCATAATTTTTATTAATTTTGCAGCTTTGTTGGGAACTATTGAAGAGGAGCACCAAGAAAGCTACATCACCGGTCTACTTCTAAGCCCCGAAACCGGTTGAGTGTAAAAAAGTGAAACCAATTTCGAATTTATGCTCAAAGATCTCATTAATTAGTACTCTTTTTCTGTTCCCCCTTCAGGTTTGGATAGATATTAAACATGGTAAAGCTATGATAGATGGTATGATAATTTTAGATGGCTCTCGAAGGTAGTGATAGCTAGTAAAATCTACAAAACTGCAGACTGTCCAGTTTCTTATGCAACTAAATGTTATATGATTTTTTGTAAATTTGGGATTTCAATGAAATAAGTTCAAGGAAGCCAAAATAAAGCCGTGCATAATGCTGCATAACGTTAGACTTGGTCCATCTGTCCTTCATCCAATCTTTTGCAACAAGCTACACGAATTTGCCGTAGAAATTAGGAAGCGCATCTGCCAGCAAAAGAAAAGCTGCATCAAATTGTATATGCTTTGTTGGTCATCCTTCTGTGAAATTTGATGACTGGCAAACAGCGAAAAAATTCTTTCATTCTGAAATTATAAATCATTAGTTTACCAAAAAGCGTATATGTTCGGTCAAAATTTCACGAGACTTGTGAATAAGGCTTCATGTTTGCATATATTTGTTGCTTCGCTATCCGCGGGCACTTCACAAAGCACAAATATTGTTTGGAAGAAAAGCTCATTCTTGCTTGGCTCACTCGTTCCACGGAAACATGATTTCGATATGCTCGGATATGTTCCATTTCAAGTGTTTTAACCAACTTTTGGTTGAAATCATAAATTTTGATTTAAGGAACGATAGTTCCAGAATTAAATCTGCAAATCGGAGTTTGATGAATTGTAAATATCTTGATCGCAGTTTCAATTTACAACTCGCAAAACCTGAAAATCGATTGAATACGTACAGGCAAATATTTGCTTGCCACGAATCCCTCTTTTTCTTCATATCTCAAAGCTTTTGATGTCTCAGTTTCTCTTTCCAACATTTCATTTGTTATGCCTCTGCGTTGATCACAGTTTTCTACCAATTTACATTTTCTTTGCAATGTCTCAACAATGGCTCTATTTTCTTGCGCAAATTTCATTCTCCGCACACAAATTCCTTTGCTGAAAGCAAGCAGAATCTATTTTTGACAAAATGACAAAATGAGAGGGCGGAAGGTTTACGCAACGAAAATGAATTATGTTCAAATATAAATGAATTTTTAAAGCCAGAGTGCTTTAACGGTAAGATCTGTAATTTTTAATTGAGTGATGAGATTTAGAAGGATCTGCGTCTCCCTGTTTGCAAACTTTTCACCATTCTAAAAGTTTCTATTTTTTCTAGTCGTTTAGACACTAGCTGAGATGCCTGACAGAAACATAGCATGAGAAGCTTTTGGCAAAATGCCCAACAAGCCCTTTTTATGGCTGCTCTGTTAGTCCACATACAAGCTGCTTTTCGAGAAGGAGAGCTCTACACCAAGTTGCTAGAAGACTATGAGCCCCTCGAGAGGCCTGTAGCGAATAGCTCGGAGCCCGTAAATGTGAAAATGGGTCTAGTCCTGCAACAGATTGTCTCCGTTGTGAGTTCATAAGCTTCATTTTAATGCGAGAACCGGATACAAGGGCGGGAATCGTTTCAGGACGAGAAGAACCAAGTAGTGGATGTGAATGCGTGGCTGAAGATGTCGTGGTATGATTACTCACTGACATGGGATCCAAAAAAGTTTGATGGTGTGGCTGATCTGAGGTTCAAGTATGTATCTTCTCATTTTTGGAAACGTCGATAAATTTTCCACATTGATTATTTAGTAGTACATTTTAACGAATTCTAGATAATCACCCTGTGCATCGAAGGTTAAAAAATCTCACCCAGTAATGTACAGAATCGAATTAGATTTATGTATCTTAACGTTTCAATCTGAATCCCCATCACTATTGATATTTCGATTTTCAAGTCGCAAAAATATTTTCATTCAAGCCTGTTGTTTATTCATGTAATAGATACTGATTCAGGAAAAGTCAAATTTGGACCCCTGACGTTTTGTTATACAACAGTGCTGATCCTCAGTTTGACAGCTCATACCAATCAAATGTGCTTGTCTATCCAGATGGAAGCGTCAACTGGATACCACCAGGTACGTAGCTCAAATCTCTGTTACAAATAATACAAATTTGAGCCTACTAATGCCAATACAGGGATTTTTCGGATATCTTGCCGGATTGCTGTAGCTTGGTTCCCTTTCGATCTTCAGGAATGCTTCATGAAGGTAGATTCTTTTCAGAATTGTGCTCCTAAGACTCATTTTAGCTTTTACCAAGTACTGTGCCTGTACGATTTTTTTCTATCAGTAAAATTCAAGTGTATGGTAAATGGAAGATAATGGCTATAGTGAAAACCTGAGTCAAGCACTTCCTAAATTCATTTACGTACTGGCTCGTATATTTTCCGAGGTTATGAAGGACAATCAAATTTCACAGTACGCACTAAAGGTGATTTATATGGCTAGGACTAATAAAATTGAAATTATGGGCGAAATAAAACATCTGTGTCGCTCCTGATATCTCTCAAGGTTGTAAAAATTCGTTTTTATGCACTGCAATTTCACTCTCCAAGTATCGAAAAGTTAGACCATGCTCCGGCAAATTTGCAGATGTAATTGCTTGACTTTAATCATGAAGGTTCTCCTGTTTCTTAGCAACTTGGCCTGTTCCAAACCTATATTTTCATCACTCGACACTCGCAGAAATCAGCAATGATCGTCTAAAAGCATGCGAAGAGGGTTTTTGAGGCAAGCCTGGTAATAAGCCCTTCCACAACAAGATACCAAACTTTTCGGCTCACGACTGATAATATGCTTTGCTCTAAGAACTAAATCATAACACTCAACACTTGATAAAATTTCTCACACCCTTTATCTTGTCTTCAGTTCGGCTCGTGGACTTTTGATGGTTCAAAATTGAACTTGGACATAGATGACAATGGTTTCGATCTTTCCAGCTATACGCCGAACGGAGAATGGGAACTTCTACGTTAGGCTTGTCTTATTCTTACTAATTATTTTTCAAATATTCTACCAGACATAACTTCAGGCACGCACGCAGTCAGAAACATTCAGCATTACGCATGCTGCCCAGAACCATACTATGACATTGTTTTCACTTTTGTCATTCGGCGAAGGGTGCTCTACTACGGTAGGCCTCCAGCCAAAATCTTTAAACACCTACTGCCAGATTTCAGCTTTCAATCTTATTCTGCCATGCATCCTCATTACCGTACTTACTCTTACTGGTTTCACACTACCTCCAGATGCCGGCGAAAAGATGTCCCTACGTAAGTTGACTAGGAATCTTGAATAGTTCAAGAGGCCCTACAAAAGAATGAGACTTTCTGAATTATATACAATTCAAGAATTTTTCCTTGGAAATCGCGATTTTGGAATTTTCGTGTTTGCAAATCATAACAGTCAGCTCTATTTTTTTGGCCTACTTATTTTTTTCTTTGTGTTGGTGTTTCTCACAATGAATTTCTTGTTTGATCTTCTCATTCAAATTGCTCCCCGATTAGTATGTATGTTCCAGAAATCACTATCATGCTATCCATTTGCATTTTCCAAAACTACTTGGCCGAGATGTCTCCGCCAACATCGGAAGCTGTGCCTTTTCTCGGTTCGTTTTTTTATGCGTTAGGCGTGTAATTTTTTGTTTATTATAGTCTCATGCCAAGTTGTCATAGAAAACGGCTGATGAACAAATTAGATAGCAAATGTAGCTTTTATTCTTCTTTTTTGGAGCGAGATCTTCATATTAGAAGTTCCAAAATAGTATCTTATAGAAATTATGGCTCATCAGTCTAACTACTTTGTTCATATGCTTGTGCATTGGTTTTGAAGGGTAAAAAGATACTTTTTCCGACAATTTACTGCTCTCCTCAAAATTGTGCGTTTTCCATTGTCTATAAATGCATCCTATAATTTTAGGAGCATTTTTCGCTGTCTGCATGTTTACCTGTGCTTGCTGTGTGGTTGGGACCACCCTAGCTCTCAACTTTCACAACAGAAGTTCATATTCTCATGAGATGAACGACATGGTAGAATTTCCTTTTGGAGACATTGAGCCCTCGTCAGCTATGGTGTTCTTTCAGTTCCGCCAAATAATGCTAAATTGGCTGCCGTGGATATTGATGATGCATCGACCTGGCTATGCTGCAGCAGGAGGAGAATTGCAAAAAGTAGATGATGATGACGATGACGATGACAAGAAACCTACTGTTTGTTTCGATTCGTTGATCTCGAAGGTGGCCGCGCAAACTCCGCCCAAGTTTGTACCTTTATAAGCTTTATCCGGAATTTTATATCAGCAATGTCCTAAATTTTCAAGAATATAGCGAATATTTGACTGTCCGAAGCCGAATAATAGAATGTAATAACACAGTGGCTAGTCCAGAATATTTCCTTTGGAAGGCACTAGGAAATATTTTAGGATCGGAACATATCTCTAAAAGCGATTCTGGGATACTTCTCGAATTTTTAACAGGCTTAACTTATAATGGCTTTCTGGCAGCAACCGCTCCGACGAGAATTTTTTCACAAAAAAAACTTGAAGTTATATAGAACTATAATAGATCAGCACCTCCAATTATTTGCTAGTGAAAATAAACCAATATAGGTTTTATAACTCGTAGACCTTTGCTAAACTCCTACCACTTAGCGCCCACGTCTCCAACTCAACAATATGTGTATTTTTCTATATGTTCACGCGAAAATTCAATTTGTGATTCGGATCAGATTTCGCATACATATCATGTTACAGTAAAATTTTGTTATCGGTTGATAGAGTAGATTTTTGCAAACTATGAACAAGAAAATTAGATAGACATGTAGAGCTAAATAAAAATACTTGGTATGAAGATAAAGAGGCTTATTCAAATTGACCGATTTGCATATTTTATGGCGGGTCAAAAATCAACTGATCGCTACTATTTGAAGAGCTGGTAAACATGAGAGGTACGGCCTAAAGCGGAAGAGGAATAATGCTCTAATTTTGGTTGGGAATTCTCTACATTTGTTCTCAATGGCGAACACGGGAATCCAGACTGAAAATGGATAGCAATGGTTGATAATTGATGGTTAATGATTAGACGGTTGCCTCCCTTTTATATTGAAAAAATGAAGAAGAAAAAAGCTAAAAAATGTCTGAAAAAGTAGTAACAAATCCGGTGGAGGAGGGGAAAACGCTAATGTCTCAACCAGAAAAAATATTTGCCGCTCACGTCTCTTCTCAAGAAAAAAAGTTTTTGAGAACCACTGGAGTGCACATGCATATGTAAGAAGAAAAGAGAAGTAGAAAGAAATTTCATAGCGTGCAAAGACATCCAAATATTCCCTTCTCTCTATCTCCAAGTGCCTCCACTCCTTTCCATTTTTGGAACAAGAGCATTGTATTGTTTTACACCAGTTTTCAGTATTTTGCTCGAAAATCTCTGGTGAGCCTCGTGTTCCTTCATTTATCTTCCTGCTAGATAATGAGAAATGTTGCAAGTACTTGCAAAAGGTCTTACAGACAGTGCTCAGCAAGTTTCTGGAACATGAACACATAGTCATGAGAGTCTTATTGAGCTTTTAATCGCGAAAATCGAAGATTCATTACTCGAAAACGCATACTTGTATCTACCCTATTTTCAGGCCTACAAGCCGCAACATTTTCAAATTTTGAACGAGCTGCTCAGTCGCTTCACTATTTTTGAGGAACGATCCTTATACCGCATAATTCTCTCAGGCACTAGGCAGTACAGTATAGAGTCCTTCGGTCGCGAAATTCTTTGACTGTTTGAGACGGTCAATCAAAAAAAAAAAATCCCGAAGGCTTATACTTTGAGAATAGCGTAGCTTTAGTTCAGCGCTGTTGATAAAATCTTTGTTATTTTCCTCTAAATTTTAGAGATTTATGGATGAGTAACCATTTGCTCAAATAACCCCACATTTAGAATATCAATTATCATGGAAGCCAAATATTAGGTTGTCCCGAAAGTTTTGTCGGTTTTTTCAAACCACTATAAAACCACGCAAAATGAAGACCTGAATGAGTTTCAACATGCATTCAATGCAGCTTTTCCTTCTCTCTCTCTTGTGGCTACATTTAGGAGCCAAGATCCTGTATGGTTTTTTGATAATTGCCACAAATCTTCACTCATCATTTTGATCTGCTCAAGTTAGGCTAATTTTCAAAAATTCTATTCCAAAGTTTTGGAAAGGACTAGGCATGGCACAAATAGAGCAATTCTCGGGCTATACGGTAATGTTTTTAGATTTCCCTGAATTGCTGTTTCTAGCTTCAAAGAATTATTTTTTCGGAGGTCTCGATTTCTGACAAAACCATGGAACACGCAACTGCGGCAAAAACATGAAAGCTTCTGGAATTTTTGCGAATTGGAACTTGATTGCTAATAAACGTTATTTATGAAACACATCCAAGTTTGATTTGTTTTGAAAAAGCAGCTTTTTGGAATTTTCGGTGACTTAACGTGGTAGACTTAATCAAAAAGCGGTGATTTTTTGAAATAAATAATTATTTAGGGTTTGATAAGCATGACCCATGTAATCTAAAATAAGTATAACGCAGCGAAGAATGGCTCTACATAACAGTTATTAGCGCTTTTCGAAAGTAGCAAGAGAAAAATTTTTAAATTCAGAAAAGATTTGGGGTTACTGCTGAGCTGCTCAAAAAGCCATGGCGATAACATTGCGAAGACAGGGTAGATCAGAGAGCAAATATAGCTGTAAGAAAGATGATGAAAATCTGTTTCAAATGATACCTAGACCTTCCATGAATTGTTGTTCTGTGGGTTTTAGTGAGCGATGGAAAAAGCCGACAAAACTTTCGGGACAACCTAATATGTGAATGATGAATACAAAATTCGCATGATTAGCTCTCTATACTTAAGAAAAACTATATAACTATTCTTCTCTGATTTTAGTAAGACTAAAAGACAATTTTACAGATTGACCATCGTTGACGAGTGCGAGCCACTCAGTGTGGACGACAAGCGGAAAATATGGCGTAACAATTCAAAACGTCTAGAGGAACGTCCTGCCCATCAAACTAAACAGGTAGACAGGTTATTCCATACGATTCTAGTGAGTACTAGGAGGGTTTGACATGCTGTTCATAAGTGTTCAAGATTCTTATAGTGTTTGGAGAATTCTCAACGATATCCTCACCGTAACCTCAAAGGATGTTACCTTAAAAATTTCAAATGATATTCGTTAGAAGTATTCCGAAGAAAAACTTAGGTGAGAAATTACGTCGCACCCTGAGGTTTTGGTCCAATATCGTAGACCTACAGTAACCCTGCAAAACACACCCGAGCAAGTAGCGCTTGCTTGATTAGCATGTCAATTAAGCTGTATGTGCAAGGTTGAGACGAAATCTGAGGTTTTACAATCTTCATTTCTATAAGGTGAAGTATATTATTTTTAGTAGGATATTTGGTTTTTATAAATTTTCGAGATTGCGTGCTTGCATTCGCTCAAAAAAGCTTCTAGTCCTTCAGTTTTAGGCAACACACGAACAGATTACGCAGTTGGTCATACTCAATGAGATCTATGAGACTTTATCGGTATGGTACCGATACACTTAGTGCATCTATACTGAACTATTTTTTCAGGCAATAACCGAAGAAATCAGAGAAGTCGAAAGAAATAAAGATGTTGAAGATGATTGGAAATTTGCCGCCATGGTCGTAGATCGTCTGTGCCTTTTCATCTTCTCATTTTTCATTCTATTCTCAATCTTCGGTTGTTTTTCATCGGTGCCCAATCTTGGCTTTAGTATATGAAGCGAGAATAAATGCTCGTTTCCTTGAAGATGCAAAAAGTGTTGGCATGGGATATGACATTGAGAGGACACAAATTTGCTGGTTATGGCTTAAAGCTTTGTTTCTCGTTCAAATGTTGTCTTCACTGCAGGAGCACTATGAAAAATCAGAAAATCAAATTCAGTAGATTGTTCCAAGATTAGAGTTTTACATAGCTTGGGAAATGGTGAGAATGACAGAATATTCTAGAAGCATCATCTTAGGGCTACAATTTTCGATATATTTCTATAGGGAAGCTTATAGGCAATTCAAAGTTATGTCCGAGTAATCAAATGAGAACATCATTTGAGTTTACACAGTCAAGTGGAAGTTGCAAGCAAAATTTTGTTTTCCCTTATATCACCCACTTAGCCTAAAAAACATTCATATCGCCCCCATTCATACTTCCACTGCATCAAGTTCGGAACTTTGATCTATGATGATGTCAGATATGGCCGTTTAAAGTTGACAAACTCTTACAATTCCAACAATGTTTTTCACTTAATGTTTGATTCTCAGTATTCTACATGTATCGCTCTGGCTCATATTCACTTTTCTCAACGGGGGTGCGCAATTACATGCGAGAAAAATTGGGGCGAAGAAATTCTAGCCATTGTGTTTTTGGATTGCAAAGGCACTCTTCTACCTACACTCAGTCAAATGCGGAGCACTCCCCACTTGCTGAATGAACAAAAAATCAACAACAACTGTAGAGCTTCGGTTACTTATGCTTCATAGCTGAGAATTTGAAATTTAGACGTGTCCGATGGTTCTTTAGCTTCTCAAGGTTTTTTAGACTTGTACGCTCATCATCTTTTGGGTCATTTCCACACTCAAAAGTGATCCGTGCTTGATCGATGCAAAACTGCTACTGCTCCATAAAGCATATTCGATTTTGTAAACATCAGATTTTGAGCTGCGATGCAAGCGAAGACCAAGCATGCACTTGTTTCCATGTGAATTCAACAGGATTTTCAGACACAGATGAACAAGGTGCAGAAGAAAAAAAAATCTCCTCCGCAAAAAACCTTCCGTTGCCAAATTTTCATCTAAAATATAAATGGCAACAGACATCAAAGCGCTGAGGACGATGACCTTTTCAATCAGTATTTTGTGCAACCACACAAATTGCAAAAAAAAATTGGTTATACCTCTACTACTACCTCTCTACTTGAGCGAAAATACAGTTTCACTTACAGCATCTCTCACTGTAACAGTCGTCTTGTTTGATACTGAATTTTCACTGGCAACCGTCGGTGAACCCAACATTCCCAGCCGTCTGCTCAACTGCCCTGCTCCGCTAAACCTACACCTTAGGATGTTACGGACTGCTACCGACGTGCACTCGGGGCGTCCACTCATCGCGGCACCCCAGGAAACCATCTCATGTGCCATAGCAGCTAACTTGGGTGTAGGCCCTTCTGAACCTGCCCCAATCGCGACGGCTATAAGAGGTCAGCGCTAATTAGGCACCCGCCATACTTACCCCTCTTGATCCGCTTGATCCGCTTAATCCGCTTGATCTGCTTGATCCGCTTGATCCGCTTGCTCCGCTTCTTGCAGGACGCGTGTAAAACGTGCGCACTCAGCAGTCTGTCATTTGGCTTCGCGTAGGTAAAAAGCAATCTCGTAGGGTTGAACAAATTCGCTGTACGTGGCGCCAAATGACAGACTGCTGTGTGCGCGCGTTTTGCACGCGTCCTGCAAGAAGCGGAGCAAGCGGATCAAGCGGATCAAGCGGATTAAGCGGATCAAGCGGATCAAGAGGGGTAAGTATGGCGGGTGCCTTAGAGGTCACTCCATGATTGGCTAGCTCGCGGGAGCGAGCGGCTGACCTGGGTAGACGCGCTGCGGAGGCGGACGAGTTTCACATCGCTGGTAACCTACTCCACAATGAGATTCTGGAGGTAATTCTCTAGAAAATTCCTAAATTCCCCAAAATCCCTAGAATCCAATAACTTAAGTTATTTGCTCTACTCCACACTACTTAAATCGCCGGCCACTTTCTAAAGTGGTATGTTTTTGACCTATGAGACATTTTCAATGTCTTTTTCGACTTATTTTACTGTTTTTTTTAGTTCGATTGCATGCTCTACTCTCCTACGTTTGCCTCCTTGCAGCATCATCTAGTCACATTCAATTGAAATGTGCACTACATGCATGCCAGTAGGGAAGCATACGTTTTTTTATGATAAGATGAAGTTTTTTTTACACCGTCCATATCAAAAACGCAATCAAATAAAAATGCATCACCTTCATTTGGTAGCGTGATCTACATGGATTGATTTTGGTAGCGATCTTTTCTTTGCTGCACGCATCATGCTTTTTACAGCGTAAAAATTTCATTTGCACATTCGTAAATTTTACTAGGAATGAAAATTTTAGGGAGATGATGATTTTCTTGGAAAGCTACAGAGATGCACCGAAAAGAAGGAAATACGCTTGATAACGAATTAGCGTGGATCACCAATTCGAGTTCTGATTGGCCTTTATAAAGAGTTGTTGAACAAACTTCGATTACGTGGGCTTTCCTCAATAACATCAAGCAGCTCACATTAGCAATATGATGTGACGATGCACGAGGTTATAAGGATCGCACACACAAGGGATATAAGTGGAAAAAAAGCAAAAAAAAAACAAAGTTCGAGAGATTTCAAAGGAGATTCTTGAAAGTTCTTTATGGATCATGGAAATGAAAAGACTTCGAAAATGTCCCTTAAATCATAAACATACCTGCTGGGAAGTAAAGCTCAGAATACCAAACATTCAGAGGATGGTAGCTGTGTTTGATTGGAACCAGCGTGATTGGCTTGCATTCCATAAGGCAAGAGCCGCACGAAAGGAGTTGTGATTTTCGAAAATACGAGCCCTTCGCGGAGCACTCGTCCGCACTCATCGCAGCGCATGCGCGCGCGTCCTAGTTCTAGATTACTGTAGGGGACGGTGGGTTCAGAAGGGCCGTCTCCCGCTAACTTAGAAATTTATACACCAAACAACAGATATAAAATGTACACAACAAAAAACTACTAAAGTACAAGGTCTCGGAGTAGAATAGCCAAATCTAATAACACCAGAGCCGCGTCGTCCCGTGTTGCCGATGCAGTGCAGGCTCAATACATGGAAGGAGATTCTGGGTTCCTCCATCGTCGGCCGCTAGAGACCCAGTCCAACTGGAACGGTACACCTTCAGCTCCACTCCCGTACCATGATTTTTCTACTAATACGAGAACCCTTGAACACTTCTCGTGCTGGGCGTCCAATGCACAAAACATCTTCAAGCTCAACCATTCAGATCGATAACAAAAACGAAAGTCAAAGAGGCCAGAGATGCTTGTGCAGCCTTATATGCCCTGCCACGTGGCCGCGTTCTCAGCCGGAGTGGTCCTGCGACGACTACAAAAGGGCGCGACAGGTAAACGCGAGATACAGCGCTTCCAGCACCTGTTCCAAAAAGTTGCTCTGCATTGCAGAGCCGCGCACAAGAATAGCATTATTGCACAGAGTCGCAAGAGATGAAAATTTCTATATTCAAAGCAATGTTAGCTGTCATATTTTTTTATTCTTTGCTCAAACATGATAATGATTCTATCGCTAATTGGCTGCTTTACTGCAGATTGCAAAAGTAGCTGCACAAAGCTGCTTGCCATTAACCTGAATAGTAACGCTTGAACTCCTCCTTCCTTACCTACTCCGACCCCTCCCCCTGTTTCCTCCCAGCTCTTTGCAAGCCCTCGTGCTAGTGTTCGAGTAGTGTGTAGGCGTGGTCAGACGGCGTCTGAGTGCAGGCGGCGACGTTCATTCGCATGCCGTCACGACTGCACCTCTACTGCATCAGCTTCGTGGTCGTGGCAGTGGCCTCCGACTTCAGTCTGCTCGCACCGGACCAGACTGCCGACCTCTACATGGAAAAGCTATGTGGCGTCCATCCACTCACCTCAGTTCTCGACAAAATTTCAACAAGTACTTATTTTCTATTTTTGGTGATTTTCTTAACAAACGATCAAGACGTTTTTTGTAAATCAGCTTTGATCTTTGATGGTCACCTTCAATCAATACCGTAATCTAGAAAACTGTAATCTATTGAAGTCCAGTACCACCACAAAATTCAATGATTCTAATTAAAATTATATTTATATTTTTTTAAATTTATAGAATGATCGAGCAAATATGTTCAAAAAATTTGTGTCTTCATCAAGTTTCGGTCCATATCGTGATCTAGACATGCAGTATTCCTTTGATGTACTGTACCCCAAAAACTCAATAAACAATTGTGAGATTTGATTATTTCGTAGGGAAAACAAGCAAAGAATTCTTGTACAAAATAATTTTTGATTTCGTTGATTAGCTTCGTTTTGCGCAGTAATTCAGCCATACAGTAGCTTGAATTACAGTACTGCCACCACAAATCCAATAAAATTGAGCAAGTACTCGACTTCCATCTAATTTTATTATGTTGTCTGGGACAAACTAAATTTCTTTGGAAAATGCTTTTCTATTCGCTGAGCATTCCGGTAGAAGTAATCTAGACATACAGCAACTTTTCGATCTGCTTTAAAGCACCAGATAACCATTAATAGTAATTGTACATTTTTTGGCGAACAAAACGAGTTCCTAGACCAATTTTTGTCGTGAGAGCCATGCCAGCGTTAATATATAATTAGTAAATATAAATTAGATAAATGATTAATGTAATAAAGATATCAACTGTATAATGCTGTTACATAAGTTTTGTTATACTCAACGGAAAAAATCTTCTAAATTCCTCGAAAAAATTTTTCCTCAGTTTCAAATTATGTAATACGGAATGTTGTGGATTTTCGACGTATTTATGTCACACGTGGAGAATACAAGAGAATACAACTTCTGATTTTTTAGAAATTTTTTTGAATCATTTTTGGCAAATTCCCAATTTGTGTTGTTAAAGTGAGCTTCCAAATTGCCTTTATAACTAATAGTGCCAATGGATAACCTCCATCTCTTCCATGCCGTATATCAAAACCCGAATTTTCCAGAGTTTTTTAAAGGAAAATGAAAAAAGTGTACGAAAAGTTGTGGACTATCCTATCCTCATTCTGAGAACGTTAAATCATATCGGAGCCTTTTTTCATACAATATTACACATAACTTAATGACCTTTCAGAACACACAATATTGTTGCCTCCTAGTTCCCCTAAATCATGGTTCAATTACGTAATTGTTCAATTGGTGATTAAACTCGAGGCACTTCTGAGTGGAACGACTCAATTGATGTTACTTCCTGCACTCTGATGCGAATTGATCGTTTGCGCTAAAGCTTCAAGCATAAAAGGACAAAGTACCTGTATGTACATATCAATTGGGTAATTGTTGATACGGCTAAGTCCTCAATTATCTATTAGTGGCAACCTACGCGGGGAATCAAATCATGGGTTCTGTTTTTATGAAAAAAAAAGAGCTGGTTTGCAAGTTTTGAAAGAGAACCGTGACGTTGATAACTAACAGAAAATCTGAGCACATTTGGAGTATCTATAAGGGCATTATTTCGGTATCCTTGAGGTGTAGTTTTGGCCATTTATATTATATTTCATTTTTCACTGGATAATAAGGGAGCATGGATAACCAAATGTATGCGTGTACTTCGAAATTTTAGTGCGCTCCACTTTCAAGCGTGAATATCTAATTCGAGAAAATTCGGATTACCTATCATACACGATGTTGGGCAGCCCAAGAAAGATCTTTACAATATCACAACAAGGACGCTCTTAACGATTCCTTCATCAGTTATCTTCAATTTATCAAAAGCGTCATAGAGATTGTATTCTTTTGTTGTCTGGCAAGTGAAGTCATTGCTTCCTGCTTATCAAACAATATCTCTTTTTATAACATTTAAGTTTCACTTTGTACCTTGACTTTTTGTCTCTTTTTTCGTCCTTGCAAAGCTTCCACAAGTTCCAATGTTTTTGTACTTCTAGCATACCTTCTAAATCTGTAGTGAAGTGAAGAGCTGAAAAAGCATGTAATCCCATTTCGATCCACCATCGATGCTTAGTTTCTGGTCAACAAGCTCATATGTTTCAACTCCATGGCTTCTGTTGATCTGTTGAAAAAACCCGTACTATTTACTATTGCTTTGCCTTAATTAATTTTCATATTAAATGTTCTACTTTGATTTGAACTCTGTTTCGGTTTGACTCATTTTTTATACATTTTAACAAACAGCCTCACTTTTTTCTGGCATGTCTGCGGAAAATCACCTTTCTTGATATTATTTAATTCTTCTCCACTGGCAAGTTAAAAATTTTTGCTTTTCTACCACTTAATACCTAGGTTCTCCCTTGCTGCATAGTGCAAAAGTTTTGCAATCGTCTCTTGCTCAATTTCATATATTTTTATTTTCCTGACTACTACCTAAGTTTGCTATGAAATTCCTCGACTCAGACTTTCTTGAAATTTTTGTTCAAAAGCATTTCGTAGCACAAAAGTACCAGTCGTTTCGTATATTCAATATCAATCTGGCTATTTTCTTGAATCTAAGGCAAGAAGTGTGAAAACAATGTGATTTGAGACTTTCATATATGAAGTATTGAAACAGAGAAACGATTGGGATCTACGAAAGCGAAGTCATACATGAGAAAATATGAAAAAACCTTTCGTATTTTTCAAAAGCTTCAAAGAAACTGTTTTACTTTGGAGCCAGCCCTTGAAAAAGAGTTGACAGAAACGCGCATTGCTTGCTCGCACGATCATATAGCCTAAAAGGATGGCTCCTTTTGTTACATCTTGTTTGGGAGGAGATATTACGTTTTGACATCTGCCAAAGTTGGAACATTTGAATAATTCTTTTCTTCAAAAAACTGCAGTTATAATTTGAGTGCCTCAAATCCTCCTCAATCTCCCTGATATTCTTGTCACCGTTTGATACCCTTTGAAAAAAGGTCAAATAAAGGGATGGCTTTTAGAAAGTTAGATTGACGCATAAATTTCGATGGAACTCGTAAAAATTCAGTACTTACTTTGAGCATACTCGATTCCAGAACCCAGACTGAAGACGCAGTAAAAGGAAGACTTAGGAATTAGGGGAACGCTAATAATATAATTGGTTCATACATAAATCTTGCACTAAAAATTTAGACAATTCTTAATCTTTCCCCGCTATAAAATCTTCTACTTCAATTATCATTAGATAGAGTTTTTGCACCTTCCCAAAGTACTCGCAAAATATAATAGAGCCATACCGCAATGACAAAAGCTGATAAAGAAAAGCACTCAAAAGTGGTTTTTCGAATTTATTAATAACTAGTTGGCTTTCCCGGTCCAGCTCGGGCCAATGGTCCACCTTGCGAGCCCCCCCCCCCCTCATCCCACCCCTTTTATAAGTTAGGATGACTTATCCTGAGACATCCGCTTCACCGCATCCTCGTGAAGGTGAAAATGAGCTTCACCACCCTCCTTCACATGACCATGGGAAAATGCTTGATCAAAATGATAAGCCTTCAATTCCTTAGAAAAACGTAAACAAATCAATAAATTAATAGAAGGACCCAGCGAATTTTAGTGAAAAGTATCCTAGAACCGTCTCCAGGGTCCAGAACATCTGTATGCAAAGTTTTAGCCCAATCGGTTGAGCGGCGGACGTTTCTTTAGCTCACATACCCTCCAGACAGACAATTTTTGAGTTTTATATTGATAAATATGAAACTAAAATTGCTGGTCTACTAGTTTCTCATTTCAATTTGCTGTTTTTACGACATGCTCTTTTTATCTGAGAGATATTCGTGCCAATCGGACGTCATGAATAATCATCACTTTCGTGTGTTTCTATACAATTTTTTTTCTAACTCAAGAAGTTTCTATTATCTACAAGGTACAACTGTTGTGCTACAAAACGTTAATGATGTTGGAAAAATTATTTGAACATTTTCAAAGCAAGGGCAAAATTTATGTATTAACTCAATATTTTCTGCTTTTTCTGTTAGTAGTATGACCATTCCAGCATCTTTGTGACCAATTCATCTATGACGTGCAATCGCGTGGTCAATTATGCCAAAATAGGAAAAAATCGACGCGAAATCCACGAAAACAAATAGGGTGATGTAATGAAGTGACACTACTAGCGCAAAGAGCCTTGCATTTGCTTTCAATCAATCATTTTGGGTAGAATAGATAAAATTCATTCATCTACGCTTTCACAGGTTACTATGTATAGGCACATGAGTGCATTTGCATGAATAATTTTTGCACTGCGGAAGCCTGGGGAACATTATATGCTACTGAATGTATCATAAATACTAGTGAACCAGTAATCTCAAATGTGCTAGAAAGCGCGGTCGCTTCGGGACCCGCTCGGTTTTCCGCTAGATGATTTTTGAATTGTGCTTACGATTTATAATATATTAGATATATACAGGGTGTCCGTAAAGTATGTATACACTGTTTGATCGTTAATATCTTTCTTCCCAACAAGTCTTTTGCCTTGCTTTAGGCACCATTTTGTAGAGCTGGCTTCAACATAGATTTACAGTATGGAGCGAATCACCGACCCCTCTTCGTTACTGTAGGATTACGGTAGAAACTTGAAACATATGGTGTCAATGTGGAAAAACCTGCCGTCTCAAAATTTTTCAAAAAAATGCGAAAACTTGTGTGATAGGGTTTTTATGGGCGCTAAGTTCAATACTCAAGTATTCACAGGATTGCGAAGCTTTCTAAGCGGCGTAACCGCACTTTTTAGGAACATTGAAAAAATGGCCGCTACCTCTTACCCGGCATAACTCTTCAATGAAACATCATAATAAGTTGGGAACTTTACAGTTAGAATCAGCAACTCTAATTAGCCTAGTGTAAAAATTTTCAGGCTGTTTTCTTTTTTTTTCTGAGGGAAAATATGGCTTTTCACGGCCTAAAACCCTCTTTGAAGTTTCTACCGTAATCCTACAGTAATGAAGAGAGATGGGTGATTCGTTCTATATTGCAAATCTAAG